CCCCTTCCTAAATTTTCGCAATGACCAGGACGACCAGGATGCACACCATTGGACTATGACGTTAGGATTAATAAGTAGTATTGTAGTTATATAGATCCTATATACAAATATTATACATAAACATATTTATATATCTGACATAACTCATAATGCTATATAGGTAAGTACGTTATAGCTATGATATATAGGTAGGTACACTGTATACACAGATATGAAATTATATATAAATGATAAGTATACTGTCATAAGGTCATCACACAAATATTTTGTATGTTTAATTGTATTGAATAGTACCTACCTACCTATCGACATTGTAATTAATAACATATTATAATCTGATAAGAATTAAAAATAGTACTAAAATAAATAATAATAATCATAATATATATTTTTTAAAAGATAATTTAGTTTATTTTGGTTCTTTTAATTGGAACATTAGTGTAGGCATTCCAAATAACGGTTAGGTTAATTGTAAATGCCTTAAAGTTAATATACGTGATGGACAATGGTTCCATTTATTAATAGTATTTAGAAATTATAAAAAAAATAATAAGTTTTTAATGTACATTGAAGACAATATTCTCATTAGTCTTCACTCATTAACCTAACCTTCCGTATTTAAAATCACAATAGTTATATTTTACTTATGATATTGGTTATTTTCTACATTGACACATTATACATACAATTGGACATTAATGTTGGGTTACCCTGTCAGCAAACAGCCTGCCATCAGTTAAATATGAAAAAAATACTGTTAAGTAGGTATATCTACCAAAACTTCCCATTACATTTTATAATATTTTATTATAGCCCTGTCTTGTTACAATTTTTAAAATAAATTGTAAATTCATCATAGAACATACAAAATGAATTGCAAATATTTTTAATTTTGGGGGGATGTAGTTATTTCTATACCGTTAGTTTTATTTAGATGTGTTTTCTTTCATTTGCATATTGTCATAAAATTAACCATACATTTTAATTTTGAAGGTTACACTATAATACGGTTCACGGCTGAAAGAAGTTTTTCGTATTGATCAAGGTCAAATAATAACTTACATTTTTTTGGTTTGAAATACCTATTTATTTGATTCGTATATTATAATCGAATATTATTTTTATATAATTATGTTCGATAGTTTTATTTAACCGTTTTTATATGACTTCAGTCACCACAAGCTATTTCACAATTTTCAGATTTAATTTGTTATTTAATAGTAGAATACAATTATTATTATTGAATCAAACATACTACAAATACTAGCACATTTATTCTAACTTCAAATAACAATGGTAAAATAAAAAATAATTTATACTCCGGTTTCCATACAATGGTAAATTTGTCTTACTATTTGGTTATGTATAATAATTAATAACTATTCCAACAAAGCATTTCTATAAATAATGGTGTATGAATGTATGAGTATAATATGACACTGCGGTGAAAAAATTGTTTAAAAACTAATCAATCCGCAAATAAAACATTTTAGCTAAAATGTTTGTCTACATTTATAATATTTTATGTAGGTACCTAAGTAGTTGTTGGGTATGATTATTTTATGGAACGTTTTATATTATATGAAAAAAAATGTTTTACCTACTTCATTTGAATTATATATTATAATATATATTTTTTACAATACGAAATGAAAAATACAATTTTAATAGTCATTAAATAAAATTATATCATTATCCGGAGACATGCATAACTTGCATACAAATCAAGAGTACTAATTTAAAAAAATCTCTGTGGTACTATAAAAAAAAACTCTGAGTAAAATTGGCTCTATTCACCCCATATTTTTGCGGTAACGAATATCATATAATATCATATTATAATTTATTTGAATTTTGAAGTACCTACCTATATACCTGTAGAGACGACGTGGCACACTGGCACAGTTGCTTTATTGAGTCATTAAGATCAGATTCAAATTTTTAATGATGTACCATTTATTGTATATGAATAAAACAACCACCGAATTATTATTATTTCGAAACTACATAATTTATAAATTAAGTATATTATATTGAATAAAGATTTAAATGAGATTTTTTTATGGTTTTCGTACACAATATTTATGTAGGTAGGTAATGTAGTTTTATTAATTTTTTTAAATCAACAATTGTTTCAATAAAATAGCTTCATATATTAATTATACAAACATCAATAGTGATAGATTTAATTTGCTTGATATTTCTTGTCTAAGTGTACAGTATATACAACTACTACACAATAAATATATTATTATTTAATAGATATTAGGTACCAACCTATATGATTATTGATTAGTAATATACTATTGAAAAACATTTATTGTTGATACATATATTAATATATTATAATTTATACTACATATAGCCTATAGGTACAATATAATTAAAATATGTCGTGACTCCTGATTATAGCTGAATGCTGATTATAGACTGTATTCTATAATTATATAATACTTTACACATATTACAATTTATGTTTGCCGGATAGCTTATTGATCCAAGTTGTAAGCCCTTTATAAGTTATAACTTATAAGTCATAATATTTATAATTATTATATCATCGATACCTTTTCGAGTACATTTTACATAGCCCTACGTCTGAAAGTAATCGCTACAAAAGGTTCTGTAATAAGTTGATGGTATTTATTAAAATGTATATTTTTTAAATTAAAATACTATTCATATATGGCACTGTTAAAAATATCAAACGATGACAAACATGAAACAATTAGCAAACCATTGTGCATCGTTGCACGATATTTTGTAAATTAATCTCGCCCCGTAGTCTAAACAAACACATTCATTAAATTTATAGCGTTTGATGAAAAACAAAAAACTAATAAATAACAAATGACTAATATGCTGCTGTTTCTATAAAATCATTTAAGCAGCGTTCAGACTTTCAAAACGTCGTTATACGACGATGCAGATTACAGACATTGAGTATTACTATACTGTTTGGTGTTTAGCATAATTATTGAAAGAAGGATAGGCAGCAAAAGTTATCTTAATTTTTTTTCAAAACTCAAAAACCGGTAATATACCAACATTGTGTTTGGCCTATTTTTTTTAACAGTCTAAAAGACCGTGAAAAGTTCAAATACGTATGCGACGATAGAAATACATAATATAGCGTAGAACCGTGGTCCGTGGCAAATCGTACGGAAGTAAAATATTGCTCAACAGAGTGTTATTAATTTATAAAACATTCGACCGCGAGATGAATGATATACAACCAATCGATGACGACAGGGTGGGGATAGGGGACTTCAAGACTTCAAACACACCCCTAGGAATTTTCCATCGGTTTAATATTATGCGGAATCCTGAACCGTGAAACTCATAGTATTTCTTTTTTTAATCTCTTTTTGTCTCTACGTCATAATGATTAAATACCTATTTAATGTAATTTTGTACCTACACATTCCTCGCGATTCTAACAAATTCATCCAGGGTCATAGCAGCAGTCGCAGTGAAAATGAAAAAAAAATTAAATTTAAATATTAAGCCCCTCGAATCTCGATATGATATTATAAAATATACCACATTATACATACATGCGTTGTGGTGTGTGTGTAACGAACCCCGACCGCAGAAAATGTCCTAACCCGCGGCCATATTTATATGTATAGGTATACAACCGCGTTGTAGGAAGTAAATTATTTTTAAAAACGAAGTCACGATAAGGGTGAACGATGATGGGTAATAATAAAATATTCACTCGCTGTGATGTGGAACTCCTCTGAAGTGGTGGGTAGGCATAACGAGTAAGGTATGTTTTTAAATATTATCGTAAATCGCAGGTGTGTTTAGGTACACTCTCCAGTGACAAAAAACTCGGTGGGCTGTGCGCAGCCGCCACGAGCGGTATACAAACCTTGGTTACCGACGATGGCAGATACCTACCTAAATATTATACCGCGAAATGAACATTACTGTCCATATTATTATTATTATTGCTCACACGTACAACCACTACAACGACAATACAATTAATAATAACGACAACCACAACGAAGATAATAAATAATAATATAATATCATCAATTATTATCCAAATAATATTATGTTATTATAAATTATAATAATAATAATATTTTACCGCACGCGTCACGTCGACTGTCTATAGTACGTCGAAGGTAGGTACGCCGCCTCGCGGTAGTTACCAATTACCGCGTGGTACGCGTACGCGCGCCGACTGTTGTGCTTGGCAGTTGGCACGTCGTCGTCGTCCGGAGTTCTCGACCGGCTTATCTGTTTAATTTGTGCGTACGCCGCCGCCGCTGCCGTCCTGATCCGTGCGGGCGCGCGCGCGTAAGCCGTACTGAATACGCGTGTACAACGCCGCCGGAGATAATACACGCGCGCACCTTTCCCCGCGGTTCAACGCCGCCGCCGCCGTCTGGTAACACAATATATAAGATCCGTTACGCGCATTCACTCGTCTCATAGGAACGACAAGTGCCCGCCGGCAAGACAGTTCTGTTCGTACGCCATATACATAATATATATATATATTATAACGTTCGCGTCTTGTCGCGTTTCAAAACTATTTTTCAAGTCGAGTTCGAAATCGAAATAACCGTTCGTTTTGAAAACAAAAATTTTATGCAATTTTTTTTCTCGCAATTTTCCGTGGACGACGCGCACTCTCAAGCGCCCGAAGTGATTTTTTCGTCGCATTGTAATCACCATACTGATATTGTATACGGACGTGTGTATCGACGACGATTATCACACACATACGTGCACGCAGCGCAGCTAACGACGGACGGACGCACGCACACACGCGGGCGCGTTCCGCGTATTATAGCACCGTTCGTAACGACTACTGCTGCTGCCGCTATACTGCGACTACGACTACGACTACAACTACTTTACAACTGTTGCTGTACAGTACAAGCCAACACTGGTGCTGCGACGACATTCGCTCGCCGGTAACGACCATCAGCGGGCATCAGCCGCCCACCGCCGACAGTCAGCAGTCAGCCCGTCCAAACATGACGTCGCCATCAGGAGCTCCAAGCGCGCGCTGTTACGTGCCCAGATCCGTGATTGTGGCCGTCGTCGCCGCTCTGGCGTCGTGCACCGACGCCGCCACAGTGATGACCAGAATGAAAGGTGAGACTCGTTTTACGATCATCGTTTTTCGCCCGTCCGTCCTACCTCAACACGTGTCCGTCCACCGCGACCGGTACGAAACAAACAATAATAGGCATATCGTATGCCTATTTATACCTGTAAATTGTAATAGGCTAGGGGTACCTGTGTTCACTACATTATTATTCTCTCTTGTCCGCCCCCACCGTCTTTGATTTGGACAACAGTTTTATGGGTGATTTCGAAAAAACGATAATTATATGGGTATTGTATAGATATTACGACGAGAAGTGCATCGTCAGACGGGACATTTTAAATAAATATAAAAACGTTTTTCACGCGCCTACGTTACGGCATATTAGCTCAACGGACGATATATCAATTTACCTTGGACGATCCAAAGACGTTTAAGTAATAAGTATACGTTCGAGACTCAAGTCGTTATCTCCACAATATCGGCGTATATTCTTAGAAGAGTGTACGTGACCGAAAACGCGTTTCGAGAGTTTGAGACAGTTGTGGTCACCGTCGCCGTCGCTTTGATTGTATAAACATTATTAAACACATTATTATATTTAGGTCGGGTTTGAATATTATAATATTACCAAATACGGTTATTCGCATATTAGCCGTATTACTCCGACGGGCCGGCGCTCGCGTCGATAAGAATATTATTATCGCCGAATTGAATTGCACGTACAGAGAGTTCTTCCGGTAAGCTGAGAGGCTTGCGTATAGATAGTACTATAGTAGTACCCACGTATATTATATTGCAACAATATAAAGCGTACGTGCAATTTACAGCCAATCGACGACGGTGGTCACTTTCGGATTTAATTTTACCGTTTGCCCTAAATCCGAGACGGGTTAATTTTTATTGACCGCTATACATATTATATACATATTTCGTGTGACAGAGTAGAGCAACAAATTGACCGCGCCGCGTGTAGAGGATGGTGATTTTTGCCATAATATTAGTTACATTCAAAACATATGTCGGGACTACCTACCTATAATTCGAATCAAACGCGAATATTTGTCGAACACCCTCCCCCTCCCACCCCCAAAATTTCGGTCGAATCGGCTGGCATTGATTTCATTTATCAGCAGCGTTGTTCGCAAAGGTCATAATATTATTCTCATCTCGTCATCACATATTACTATACTATATTATTATACTTTGTTCGAAAAATAAAACAATTACGAGACGATAAGAGTATGTTATTATTATTTCTTCTCGTCGTCAATTGAGCTCTATGACATACGTTCCGAAAACACGAGCCTACAATAATAATATATATATCGCAGTAGAACAATAATAATAATTGATGCGACACATGTGGCAAACAACAGACGAGCTGGCTACTATAATATTGGCAAAAAAAAAAAACGAACACGCCACGCTCGTACGAAAACAACCGAACTTTGAAATACCTACGTCAGCACGACCGATCGGTGCGACATAAATTACAATATTATAATAATAATATTATATTATCGTCGATAACTATAATACTACTCCGTTCGGTGGTGGCACACGATCGCGTCAAAAACACGTCGGCGTGTTGTACACTTTGTAATAACGAAATTTAACTATGTACGACATTCGATATCGGGGAAATAACAACAAACAACGTTATTATTATTATTACTACCTCCCGTGCTTTTGTTTTGTTTTTTTGTTCGACAAAAACAATCGGCGCGGTATTCGTGTATAATAATGTTATGGGGGTCCGTCTGAGCAGTGGCGCCGCCTTTCGCACGTGCAACGAGGACGACAGGCGTGCGATTCGGCCTATATAATAATACTATTATAACAAATAATAATATACAGCTTACGATATTATCATTATTATTATTATTATTTGTTATGGTGTTGCCAGCGATGCGTTTCAAAATCGGTGTGTGAAATATGGCCGAAATCACTTGCCGCCGCCGCCGATCCGTTTTATTATTCCGCTCTCGTTTATAATGTTGTAGATCGTCGGAAAGGCTTAAAGTTTTGTAGGTACTTCCGGTCGTCGTCGTCGTCGTACGTGATAATAATGTCATTATGTGGTGTAAGCTGCTGCTGCTGCTGAGGTATGAAAACAAGCGAATACGAGTGCAACACTGCTTGCACTTTGTTCGAAGAATCGCGTGGTCGCGACATAATAATAATAATAATAATAATAATAATATTACAATGCGGTTGGTGTACGTGCGAGAAAACGAGTTCCGCTTACCCACATCGACCGAGTGTGTGCGTGCGTGCTTACTTGGGTATATGCACAGCCCAAATCTTCGTTTCTCGATTTCTTCATAATAATAATATAATATTATTATTATTTACGCCGTTCCCTTTTAGCGTAAAAGAATGTTTAAGACACGATATTATAATAATAATGATTGTACTGCAGCTGTTTTCGTCGTCTCTCTGGCGTTCTTGTATCATGTGCTTTAAAATCCCTAAATTATATTCTACCCTCGTCCCCCATTTTAAACACGTGCTGATCGAGCATCTACGATTTTTAACCGAAATTTCACCGTGATGATATTGTTATACTGTGACTATAATTTTCTGACCTATTTTCCGTTTGATTAACAGCTGATCGATAATTCTCGTGATCCCATCGGGCCCGATTTGAGGTATTGTTATAATATTATTTTCAAATCTCGCCAGTATTCGTTTATAACAAACTGATACTATAATATTATAATATGTACGGAATGCGTGTTTACTGTTTACCCATCGTGTGTGTATATTTTATATCGGTTACGGAATTTCTCGGTATCTCGGAGAGAGAGACGAAAAACAATCTCATCTACGAAACGAAAAAGTCCCCCCCTCACTCACTCGCTCTACCGATATCTCTCTCTAACTCACTGTCCCTCTCTCTCTCACACACCCGCGTGCACTCTTTTCCATCTCTTTTGTGTCTGAGTGTCGAGTCGACGGTCATCTTCCATAGGTCGTCGTCCACTCGGTGCCCTCTCCTTACCAATCTTAATAGAATATGACGACGCGCGTGTCAGCACACTCGGCTGTAATATTATCATCAATACTGTAAATTAATATTTAACGACGGAGGCTCGATATCACCGAGATGACTCCGTTTTAACAATCCGAAATCATGACGACCATACAAACATCAAAACGTGTGTCGAACGTGCGGTTCGACGTGAAGAAAAAAACAACAAAAATCACTCTTTTTTATCGGCGTTGGCGTTGAGACTACAGGTCGAGGTCAGCGATTAAAATATAAACGACGCGTAGTATTATTATAGCCGTGCCATATGATGATGATGATGATATTATATTATTGAGCCCAAACCTATGATCGTCATAGCAAAAACAATGAATTAATATTGTTTTCCAATAAACGGTTTTGCAGGCGATACGCTCGAAACGTGACTGTTGTTGTTATTGTTGTTGTTGTCCGCCGCTGTGTTATTTATTACAATATTTTTAAACGATATTTATTTTGTTTTTGTCGTAGATCCCGATCCCGCGACGGACAAAACTCTACGCGTACACTTAACACCGTCGGTCGCGCGCGCGCACTCGAGGTCGGCGACCTTTGCGAATGAATCACAAGAACCGTGGTGAACCCCCCTCGCCCCCGCCCCGTAGACCGTGTGCCACAGCTGATGTTCAAATAATAAAAAAAAATTATACCATAGGTACAGCGATATCGTATAATTATTGACGATTGATGTGATATAATATACAATAATCAATGACGTTTTTAATATCGATTAATATGATATTATTGTGTTATTTCTGTGTACTATGTATGATAAGCACTGTCTGGTTTTCCACGTTCGACGACGTAATCGTCGTAATCGTAACAATATAATATTACAATGTGACGTACATCTGGCGTGCATCGAACGGTCTTACTAAATCGTCGGTTTTTTTTCTTGTTCGCAGACACCTCGATGTTCAGATCCAAAGGAGCCGTTGACGTGGACGGAAATGCCGCCTCGTCGGCCATCAAGGACAACGTCGCCGAAACGTACAACTTTAACGCTCAAAACTACACGAACGCCGCCAACATCACCGGTAAGCTTGATACGATTATAATTGTGTAGTGGAAATCTTTTTGGGGTGGGTGCAGGGTGCGCGCTTAGGGCAAAACGGGACGGGTCGCGAAGGGGTTGGAGAATTTAATTTCGTGAATTTTGTTCGTTGTCGACGGGGATTGTGCGGGGACGTCGACCGCGACCGATATCGATCGGAGGTGTTCCCCCCACCCCCTTGCCCACCATAAGTCGTTTGATTTCCGCGACGTCGTCGTCGTAATTGATTCGGCGTGTCAGACGAGGATTTTAATGTTACGTTATTATACACGGGTATTAGGTGGTAAAGTGAACATGGTTTGCACTAATGGTATATTTCGTGTCTCCGTGATATCCCGTATCTAACTCGGTCTCTCTGATATTTGACATCGGACTTACCACGTCATGTTGAAATGAATCCAAATTTCATGTTTTTGTCCAAAACACTAAACGGTTTTCAGCGAAAACGTTCGCCGATTAAAAAACCGTCTGGGAACGAAGTACATAATAAACAATAGTCAACAACTAACAAGCAGCTAACTAAAACACATTCGTACGCCAATTTAAGTCGCGCGAGTTTTGGCGAGTGTCACGTGCCCCGAGACCACCGAGTGTACATAACGGCAGAGAATTTTCGTTATTACTTTTTCCGTACAGCGAGTACTGTTATTTCCGCGCGTTTCTCGAATATTTCAGTTTAACGATAATTCTTTTATAACGGTGGTCGTTTATCTTTAATAATAGTATAAATCTTTTTCGACCTTGAAATCTGGCGCTGGTAATAATAACAATAATTATTGCTCGCACAGTATATTTCATATTATTATTATTATTACGTCTTCGTAATAAGTTTAACTTGACTTTTAACGTTATATTACGAGTGTTTGCCGCCGTTCGCTTACCGACGTGTTTTACTAGCGTCAATAATACCTTTGAGATCGCGTGGCGTGTGATTCGCGATGTATCTATTATTGTGACAATATAAGCGACGCGCGTGCCGCCCGATAATAACAAGGTGACAGTATAGTCGGTTTTTTTTTGTTTGCTATATATACGCAGATCGGTTGATGTTTCGGTACATCGTAATAAATTATATTATTATACTGTACATGGATGCATTTTTTTAAATTTATTATACAATAAGACATTCTTAGCCTATGTAGGCTATATAAAAGTCTACGGATATTTAACTCTTGTTGTAACCGTAAAGAGTAAAGAATTGTTGTTTTTGGCTATTGTAACGTCATGATCATAATTATTAATACAATAAAATACCGTTAAAAGCCAAAACGGGCATTACTTTATGGGCGTTTCTATATAATTTATTACCATTTTAAATCATTTAATTGCCATCAGTAATCAGTACTGATAAAAAACTTAATCCTCTCTTTTCGAGTGTTCGATATCGACCATCGTCGCGAGACAGTATAATATTATATATATAATAAAACAATAATAATATGTACAATGATTTTATATCATACTGTTAATTAAATAATATTATTTACTATCTATATAATTTCGCTGAGTTTATAACATTATGGTCGTTCAGATCTATCTTATCTGCTCGCGGTGGGTAATAATTTTCGTAAATACTTTAATCCTCTTCGCAATTTTTCGCCAATAAAATCATAAACAAATACGTCATCCACATAATAGGTATTCCGCACTCGAACGACTATTATTTTTATTGCTGACCATTATATCACCTACACCGCGATATGAAACATCGCGTTATCGCGCGCGCTGCATCGTCGAGTGTCTGCGGATTTAAAAACAAAATATTACAATAATAATTGCATTCGGATGCTTCGAGATTTTTTTTTTTTTTATAACGTCGTCCAACTCAGCCAATACAAACGGCGTATACGGTTTTACATTTACAAGGGCGTCCGCAGAACCAGACGTCGTGGCCAATATGTAGGTAAACACATTTTGCCAGGTGTGGTGCGAAAAAATAATAGCCATTAGGCAGGTTTTAAAAATTTCCAAGACCACTACTATACACACTGCAGCACACACGACGTCGTTTATACCAACGTAATAATAATAATAATACGATTCGAACTCTGAGAGCGGTTTAGTATGGTTGGTAGGTATATTATAATATTATTATAACCTATGTCGCGTTATATTAATACGCGTTTCCATTATAATTGAAATCGACACTGCAGCCGGAGCGGATTATTACGAAATTCGTTTGCTCCTCAGCTGCTATAATGCGACGGTTGGCAAATGTATAATAATATGTTTTAAAATCATACGCAGAATCCCATACAAGATTGCGTCCCGTTTCCTAGCCTGTCCGGCATTTTCCCAACGTTGTTTTACTCGAATATTGTAGAATTCTATAATATGGTAGAACCACTAGAACGTAATATAATATGTATAATATACGCTTGTTCGACAGTTTTTTTTTAATTACGCGTCATGACGAAATATTTATCGACTTTTGGTTAATCGTGTATCAAAACATATTAGTCTATATTATATTATACACATACATACAGCAGACTATGTAGGTTTATTAATTATAATTTATTATAGTGTTATAAGTCCGTCTAATCGACAATTATATTATTTTTAAATCCCAGAGTCGTAAAACGATTGCGGGCCGAATTTGTGTTAAATTGTATATAATATTTCATCGTTAATTCTTTCACTCGACACCGATTACTTTCATCGTTATCGTTTCTGCAGCAATATAATATTATTATTATAACACACACAATATACAATTTGAAATATATATCTTAATCCTCATTTGTGGCGGCACACGCACCGTCTCGACAAGCGTAAAATATAGTACGGTCGTTGCGTAATTCTTAACGAGCAACAACAAAATAATATTATATATTTATAATAATTATTATGTTCCGATCGATACCTACTTCAATGTAAGACTTTATAGGCTTATGAAAATGTATAGAACGTAGAATAATCGATATACGTTAAGCCAAAAGTCAAATTCCGTCGTAAAAAAAATAATGACGTCATCGGAGAAATCTAGACCGAACCGGAAAGCCGGAAATAAATAATAATAATATTGTAAATAGTATTCATACAAATAATATTTTTATATATATATATACATATTATAATAGCTGTCTGATTGATATTATTATGGTTCCTGTTTGGATAATGGATTGTGTAAAGTAATATTTTAGGGACGTTCGCCGAAAATGAGTTCAGTGAGTGCAAAACCGTTCACGACCCCCTGGTTCTACCTCCCACTACCCCTAAACCGACCAACTTTTTTTTATAAGCATATTATAATGATAAAGTTAGATATTTTGTCACTCTTAATATTTATACATCTGATTTTTTTTTTTAATATTATTCAATTTAATTGGCTCTCGAATTACCCCAATCGATTTCATTCACCATATTATAATATATGTATGTTATCAAAAGCGTCGTTATAGGAAATTTCGATGGGGTTAATAAAATATATTATATCGTATTATAAATTATTAGTAACGGTTGATGGAGGAGGGGGTGGAAAAATTGCGCGATCAACTCGTATCATAATGAAATTTAATATTATAACCGACAATTTAATAATAAAAATATTATTTTTTTTGTGTTGCGCAGACTCGGAAGACGACGACGGTACGTCCGGTGCAATGGGTGACGAGGAAGCGCTGTCCGCCGTGTGGTACCTAGCCGCATTTGGCGGTCTGGTGCTGTTCTTCTTCGTGGTCACGTGCTCCGAACTCTTCTTCGGCAATCCCATCTACCAGCGCCGCCCCGTCGAGCTGCCGCACGCCGGTTACCTGCGCCGTCACGTGTACGGAATCCGGAACCACGGACAGCACCACAACTACAAGCCCGAGACGCCGCCCCCACCATACCACCTGTTTGCGCCACCCAGTTACGATGACACCGTCAAGGGCGGGTTCGGACAGGTGTTGCAGCAGCAGCAGCAGCAACCACAGCAGTACCACCACCGCGTTCCGGGCAAGAAGCTCGCCGACGTTTACGTGGTGCCCGTGCACGCGGCCACGACCGCCGCCACCGGCGCTACCACCTGCGCCGCCGGAGCCACCACCTGCGCCACGTGCACCACGAACGCCGTGGCCGTGGCTGTAGCGGACGCCAAACTGTTGGCCGCCGTGTTGCCGCAGACGAAATTCAAATAATCGTCGCCGACACTCTCCTCACATTTCTCTTCCCATCATCATCCCTCGTCCTCGGTCCGCACTGGATTTTTACCCCTCCGGACCGACGGGGATGGACGACGACGACGACGACCACGACAACGACAAGATACTAATTTTTTTCGCGCAGAAAGACGACGCGCGCGCGAATATATAGTAATATAATAATCAAAAACATTAGTATAATATTATTATATAATAATATCTCGTATGATATTTTCTCTGGAATCACTCTCTCTCTCTCTCTCTCTCACTTTGCCGTCGTGTCGTATCACAGGCGCGTTCTTTGATCTCATTTTTATACATATGTGTACATATTATTCAAACGTTATTTTTATACACGATCACACACACAGACACGCGCGCACACTTACTTACACGTGTATTATATACACGGTTATGTAATACGATAAACGCGTTATAATATAATATTATTCGTCGTATGTTCGTTCAGACATTGTTGTTATTCGTTCACGTACGATATCAATAATATTATAAATATTGTGTTTATATAATTTAATTTTATTCGTACATCTCTGAGTACTTTCCAAACCTTTTTTTTATATTTTATTTATTATTAATTATTATTATTATTATTATTATTATAATTCATATTGTGTGTGTGTGTGACTTTTTTATATAATATTATATACATAATTATATCCATTATTTTATTTATTATATACTTACATTAATGTTATAATAATATTAAATTTAATGTACACGCCACGCTCGTGTGGTATAATACAACGTTAAAACAAACGATATCATTTTATTTATCGCGTTTATTAACTCGCGCCAGTCCGAACAGCGGCGGCCGACCGTTCGCGATTATTGCGGGACACGTCCTCTCTCCTACGCGGCGGCAGTCGAGCCCGCGCCGCCGGACGCGTCGGACGTGCGTCCGGTCCGCGGCGGGCCATCGACGCGCTTGCTCGCGTGTGCCCGTACCCTATCGTCCGGCGTACGTGCAGCCTCGCACATGGTCGACTCCGTATCCACTATTTTTACCATAATATAATATGTAATATTATGTATAAACATCATATTATATTATATTTAATTAATGTATACAAGCGTAGAGGATAAGTCACACGATGAATATTATTATTAAGAAAATTGTTCTCATCATGACTGCGAGATTTTGATATTGTGTGTGTGTCCCTACGTGTTTTTCTTTGTGTCCATCGACCGTATACGTATGAATGTTTTTTTTAACCTATTTTGAATTTACGTGTTGAACGTAGCCTATATTAGGCGATTTCTTTTCTTTCTTTTTATATAATTTATTTAATAAACACTGTTACCAAAACACATTTTTATCTACACAAGTTTTGTTTTTATTTATTACATATAATATATGCCCATAACTTGGTGCATATCAATTGTACACCCATCACGAACGTCGGAAAGAGTTGAACAAATATCGGACACAGCATATACACAAATTATTTATCAGGATTTGAGGCTGTAGACCTCCTAGTGGTGTAAATTTCGTCGACTTTTTGATTTCTGGTTTTATATATTATACAAAGAGCCGTTGATCTGCAAGACACCTTTATGTCGTGGTTTCCATAATCACCTGTATTGATTACGAACTGTCTTCACTTACATTATATAAATTCAGATTTTTTTTTGCTTTAGTGGTACTACTATTTAGACGAGTGTGGTTTAACCTTTTGTACTTCACGGACGTTGGGACATTTTACTCATTTAATTAATATAAATATACCAAAAAAAATTATTATTATTTATTTAATCATCATATTACACAGTACTCAAATTATTTATTTACAATCTGTGTCGTAGAATTATTAAACAACAGAAAAATAAATTAAACAATTTTTTCCCGGAATTTTCATAGATTGTCATATACAAAATTATATTATTTTATACATTTTTAAATGATTATAAAATGGTTCACATGTCCCGGGGCTAAAATCCAAGGTTTCGATGGGCGCGGATTGGACAGCACACTAATAAAGACTAGAGCTGGTATAGTGGTATAAAGTATGCCAAACGGTGATAAAATTAATTTAACTCATATAGATATCCACTAGATTACAATATTATATCAGCACATGCCACATGAAATAATATGATTGGGGTCTGATCGAAAAAATCTACACGAATTTTACCGCCGTGTCGTGTGCAGGAGGTACCTACTGTGTAAAAGTGTATAACTATAGCTGTATAGTGTATATAGTATATACCTTTAAAAACACGGTAATACACATTTTATACGTCTTACTTATATCAGTACTCACCGGGCGATCTTAAACTCTCCCGAGTCTGCAATAACTTCGTGTCTTCGATCATACATTATATTCAAATGTTTATATTAATATATGAACAATACCTATCACAGACAAGTTAAAATCGATTAAAAAGAAAATCACTAAATGGTATACTCAGCTCAATGCCCTCTAGACGTTCCGAAATTATCAATACCAGAACAAGAATCGGTCATACCACTGATCATAGAATAGTCTATTCTATAATCAATGGTCATAGAAACCTCACCCACGTACATATCATATATGATGAAACACGAAGAACAACCTCTCTGTAGCCAATGCAACGAACCGCTCACAATCAAACAGGTAGTCCTAGACTGGCCGCTATATGTCAACGCAAGAAACATATTATCCTCAACCAACCTTCATCGAAGCACCAGGAGAACACAACACGCACTTCATAGCTTCTTCAAATCCATCGCCATCGACACAAAAATTTAATATCAAGATAAAACTACACAGGTAACTAACAAATACAGTAGACGCCGCTTATAAGACTCACTTTGGGACCAGCACAAAGTGAGTCTTATAACCGAATGAATCTTATAGGCGAAGTGGAAAAAAAAAATTAATTACGTATTTATAAATTTTATTTTACTAAATGTTTTGCTTTGATTTTAATACTTTAACACATATTACATATTACATACTTTATTATTGAATACATTTAATAATCCTGATAAAAAAAATACTAAATTATAATAGGTAAATATTACATATAAACATATTATAAAAATTATACATTAATAAAAAATTTTTAAAGGATCTATGTACATATTACTATGTATTTATTATTTATTTTTATTATTTTATTATTTATTTGTATTATACGTTATAAAGTACCACCAGAAACTAGAAATCATCAACACGAATATTATTTAATTTTTCAATACCAATTTATTTCTAAATTATAACTAAAAAAGTTTATTTTCTACTATTTATTTTACGAAATTTGAGTCTTATAACCGAGTTTTTCTTAATGTATTTGGATACGTCCGGACCGTTCCAGACGATTTTGAGTCTAATAAGCGACTGAACCTAACCTAACCTATCCGTGAGTCTTATAAGCGGCGTCTACTGTATAATGTAAATATATAATTCTGTAAAAACCACTTAACCCATAATTATATAATCTTAATTTATAACTTAATTATCTATCCATTAATAATAATGTAACCACAACCACAGGCTAATGACCTATAGCTGTTGAAGCCTATATTTTCAATAAAAAAAAAATAATATGATCAAGTAAATGTTTAAAGTATAATATAAGTTTGAATTTAATTTAAAAAAGTAAATTATTTAAATAAATTATAGTAAATAATAATAATATTTAAATAAATTTAAAATCGAATCAACATATTAATTTAATTTGTATAGTTATAATATTATGAACATACAGATTTAAAAAACTTAAGGTACCTATCTATTTTTTGATTTGTGTAGCAGCTCGCAGTCTATAATTTTTTGTGGCATGATTTTAAAACAACTCGGCAGAGTTCACATAATATTTTCTTCTAGAAAACATAATGCGTTGACCAGGACGAGTTTACACGCATTTCCGTCAGTGAAACGTAATGTTTACCATCGGGAGAGTTTACTAGCTTTAAAATCGAAAGATTTTACCACTGCTCTCGTACTCAATCCTGACTTAAAAGTCATATACGTAACATCGCCGACCGAGGTAGTAATAGTGTCATGACAAGCCCAGGCAATTGAACTGCGTGTGTCCGTGCACACGCGGGACATTATCTGAGGAGTAGAAAATAACAAAATATAAAGATATGGTACACCATGTACCTACATAAGACTTGAACACTCTCTTCGTATACACACATATCATACAAGTAATATAATATCTTGGCGAATAAATATATTGTCACCGCCAGACGCAGACGTTTACCTATATGACTTCGGCACATCGGGGTAAGAAAAAATTTGTGAAAAGAAAAACGTTTAGATGCGAACCTATTTTTGATGGACCGGAAGGAAATTTCGAATTTATTGCTACCTTCCGAGCATAATATTTAGACTATCGCCTGCGGACTGCAGAGGACTATATTTATCATATATTTATTTATGGTCGTGAAAAGTCGGCAATATTATAATATATAATAATATTGTCAAATGTCAATCGTGTCCCGCTCGGATTGTGTGAGAAAAAAGAAATGCACGATTATATAGCCGTTATATGTTAATATTATTATTATACGTACATTGCTCTTTGCATATAGCTCCTCGTGACGCGGTGTATACATTGTATTATGTACCTGCTACGGTTTCGCAAACATTCTAGAATTTTCATAATTAAATATTAATCGTGTGTCGTACAACGCCTATATTATGTATTTTACATTTAATTTTTACGTCATTGTTGTACTTCACTACGAGTCTATGACACATTGACACCGTAACACTACAGTAGTACGGTTTATAATAATTATTACTATACGTAATTCGGTATAACCACTTGTTATAACAGTCATCATAACTCTGCATAGGTGTAAGTGTGTTTTCGCGAGAACTACCTATAGCAAGTGTGTGACTGTGATGAGATTACATATTATCGTTATTCTTTTCGTATTATACATTATCGTTAGATGTTTTTTACTGTCATACTCGATATAATAATACGTATGATTGCCCAGACATGTTAATATATGATATAATGGTGATTTCATCAAA